GGAGGAGGGGGAGGAGGGGGAGGAGGAGAAGAAGAAGAAGAAGAAGAAGAAGAAGAAGAACTTCTTGTATTACAGGCAAAACAGATTCTTATTCTTAAGTGCCATGCTTTCAAATTTTCCACAGAGAAGTTAAATGTCATATGATTCTACTACATACTACTACTGCTACATGAAACTCTAGTTTTAGCTTTAAATTTCAAATAAAATACACCTCTGAGGCCCTTGGAAATATTCTGAGTCACAAGGAAAGCTGTTTTTAAAATTAGTCTTCCCTCTCTTAATTCATTCTAACCTCCTTTCCAAAGTAAAATTCTTATCTTTACATCTTGTAAAACCAGTAAAGGTAAACTTACATTTTAAGTATTCTGGGGAGGGGGAATCTGTCACAAGCATATGGGAAGAGAGCATTTTATAAACTTCTGAATGTTCTTGTTCTGGAAGAAAATTTAACAAATTCTGATCCATGACATCTGACTGAAAAAGAAAATAAAGAACAAAGGTACACACTCAACGAAGATGAAAAATAAAAGCAAAAGCAAAAGCAAAACCTGGACATTCAGGACCATTCAGAACTGCTCTCTGAAATGAAAAGTTCAAGATCTGATTTTCCGCAAAGACTTTCAATTCTATCACTCTGTAATCCTGGGTTATGATCTAGAACATTTCACTTGTTCCAATGCAAATGTGCTATGGTATCGCCCATGAGCCCATGAAAGAAGTAAGGGTTAAATCAGACAAATAAGCAGAGAGTCTTGCTCTCCCTGAAGGAGCCCCACCTGCCAGCACTTCTGTGTTCCTGCTGGGGCCCCGTGTAAACCCTGTCACTCTTGTGAAGGGCTCTAAAGAATGCATGGGGTTCCTTTCCTGACTGTTAGGCCAACAAACGAATCCCTGTTTACTTCTTAAAGGTTCCTCCAGTCGAAGGAACTGCACTTTTTCCCCCGAGTGCTTGGGCACTGCACATACAAAATGAATAAGATGTAGAATCTAGATACAGCACTGTCCAATACAACTGTCTGTGATGATGGAAATGGTCTCTAATGTGTGCTGTCCCTTACGAGAGCCACCAGCTATGTGGTGATGAGCACTGAAATGTGGCTGGTGTGACGGAAGACTGAATTTTTAATTGCATTTAATTTTAATGATTTTTAATTGGAACCTAAATAGCTGCATGTGGCCAGTGGTTCCCATAGTGGCTAGTGCAGGTGGAAGCTCACAGAGGAGAAAGAGAGAGAACACAGGCACGTCTCTTGCTGCCTCAGTCTCCCTCAATAAACTAATGCTTTCATACATTTTTAAGACACGACTTGTATACACTCTTAAATTTGTATATCCAGGCAACTCTGCTGTGTGTTCCCTGGGAACCCGAGGTTCACATGGACATCCCTAATGTCCTCATTCTTTTGCACCCATACCCTGAGCTCCCCTACCATTCCTCCCCTGAGCTCAATGTCCCCATGCACAGTATTGCCAGTTGGTCACTTGCCCATCCCCCTTGCCCATCCCATTCCCAACATCTCCCCTTCTCGCCCTCATCTTCACATCCAAACAATGTCCAAGTGCTGTGAGACATTTGTCCCTCAAATTCTTTCAAATCTCCTCCCTTCTCTTTATTTCCATAACCTCAACCCCTCGTCTTGATCACCACCATCTCTTATCTGGGGACTAAACTGACCAAACTGGTCTTCCCACATCAACTTTTGTTCCTGTGCAACTTATTCTCCACCAGCAGGCCAGAAGGAGTCTTGTGTCAGATCAGGTCACCCCCTTGCTTAAAGGCACCTGGGCACCTGGCTGGCTCAAGCCGTACAGCATGTGACTCTTGATCTCAGGATTTTGAGTTTGAGCCCCATGTTGGGTACAGGGCTTACTTGAAGACAAAACAAACCAATACAAAACAAAACAAAACAAAACAAACAAAACAAAACAAAACAAAACATACTGTCATTTGGCTTCCAAATGCTCTCATGACAAAGCCTGAACCTCCCCATTCACTTCTGAGGCTATGTACTACCCACCCTCTAAACTTCCTTCTTTCTCGTCTTCCAGGTTTGCTCTTCCTTTAAGACTTCCCCACGCTGCACCCTGAGACTGGGACATCGTGTATCACTCCTTTTGTTTGGCTAACTCCCGTGTATCCTTTTAGGTCCTTGCTTTGAAGGCACCGCTTCTGAGAAAGCACCCATGGATGCCACCCTGGCTACTGTGGCTCTGGCCTCTGAAGCCTCTTACAGCACTTGTTCCGGCATGTTGAAACCTCTGGTGAAGGGCTGGTCTGCCTATACCACACTGGCCTAGGTTGGGACTGGAAGCTGGCTCTACCCACTCAGGGCTGGGCTTTGCTCAACCAAAAGATGAGGAAGCTGTGAGGGTGCCAGGAGCTGCTGGTCAAAGGGCACACAGCATTCACTCAATGAATGCTCAGTGTGATTAAGTGTTTAATAACCCTTTTAGAAAGTTCTTGAAGTTTTCTTGTTCATTCACATGCTGATGTGTATTCTCTGCCTGCCTCATCCAACAGGAGCCCCAGGAGAGTCGGGGTTCTGTCTTCCTTCTTCATTCCTATATGCCTGACATCAAATGGTGCTTGGCCTTCCAGAAAAATGCATCGACTAGCTTAAAGAAGTAAAAGGAGTAAAAACAAGGCACCCCTAGAACAGTGAGTGTGGTGTGTCAAATCCAATCACAAGGACAGAGAGGCTCTCAGGGAACAATTCCCACAGGGAGGGATCCTTGAGCAGGATCTGGGGGACAAGATGGTGTCTTCAGGGCAGCCAGGGTGCTCTAGGCAGGGGACACAGCATACACAAAAGCATCACAGGGGAGGGAGGAGAGTAACGGAGGCAGGGGTTGCAACGGGAAGTGAGGCCAGAGCAAAGCAGGCCCCAGAGGAGAGAATGCCCTGTCCTGTGTGCCTGGGGTGGGGGAGACGGAACCCACCAAGGGACCTACAGGAAGGCAGGGCAGGACTCTACCTGTGCTTTAAAGAAATCCTTTAAGGTTTCTGGTCTGAGGAGAGAGGGAGCACAGGAAACCAGGCTAGAGATGGTCAGAGTCTGAACAGGCACAGGGAATGGGGAGATGTGATGTGCAGGAGGAGGGAGAGTCCAAACAGGTCATCCAACAGCATAATCCACCCAACACTGAGGGGTATCATGTGCCTGCCAGCTACTGCCTTTGGCACTGGGAAGAAACACAGTGAAGCTTGCGAGCCCCTTCCCTCTTGCAGCATTCTAGGGGCTGTGAGGAAGGGAGACACCACTCGGTAGCTGATGGACAGGAGGAGGAAAAGGAGGGACTCCTAGCTCCACTGCACCCCGGCTTGGCTTGATCTCCATTGGCAAAGACTCTGCAAACCCCTCACTAGCCTGTGCTATCATCTTCTCATTCAGGCTTTCTCCAAGTTCCTTCTGATGTTCTTGATTTTATTTTAAGCTCGTTCCCTTTAGTTTTTTAGATGCTGACTAATGCTCACAGAGGACAGTATTCTTTCTTCTTAAAGCCATTTCAGATATAGGAAAATGATGATGAAGTCACTCCACGGCCTTTTCTTAGAGAGTCAGGTGGAAGCCCCCTTCCCCTGATGTATGACAGAGAGCAGGCTTATGGGGCTACCTTACCTAGTTGCTTCTGTGGAAGGCAGTTGGTAGGTCATGGGGCTATAGGGGCACCTCAGGCTACAAGTTCTGCTTAGAATAAAGGTGAACACTGGATGAAGATTGGTGGCAAGGGGGAGGTTGTGAGAATTATGAGTTAATACACTAAAAGGGCTCAGGGCTGTGCTTGCGCAGAGCAGCTCTCTCTCTCTCTCTCTCTTCACTATTATATCACTATTATGCCATTTCCATGTGCCGACAACCAACACAAACAATGACAATCTGAAAATTTAAGCCCTAATGCTTACGGGAGAGCAAATTATATCTGCAATTGAACTGTCCCTTGAATGAGCTGAGCTCTGCTTATTAAAATGACAGCAATTACAGAGACAAGGGAAGGCATTTGCCATCTGCAGCCATCTTCACAGCTGAATCACAGTGTCTAGAATATCATTTACCTGTTGGAGGCAGAAGGTCATCTATCCAACATATTGGGATGTCCTTGGCTGCTTTATCAAAGAATCTTTACCAAGAATACTTTCAATATGAATGCATATTCCTAAATCCGAAGGTGCACATCTCCCATGTCTCTTCTTGGGGGCCCCTGGGATCCTGGGGATGATCTGGAAATGCTTTGGGTGACAGTGTGGCATTTCCCTCTCTCCCTACAAACCAGTAGCACCAGATCAGTCCCACCCAGCAAAGTTAAGTGAGAGCCTGCACATGGAGCACACAGGCTGGCCAGCTGAATTGGAAATGAGCTGGGTGGACACTCTGTCCAACAATGTCCCAAACAGGCCCTGGCAGTTCTGGCTGGAGATGTGTTGGCTACGGTTGGAAAGGGCAATCGTGAGAAGTCCCAAAGAAGCTTCATACGGTGAAGAGGCAGGAATGGGCTCAGGGAAGCAGTCAGGGCCTTGATCTCCCTAAGGGGCCAGAAAGTTGGAAGCACAGTCGATATGCTTTGATGCAACTTATATTCGGAATCAAACTGATGGCCAAACAGTAATGCTTTCAGAAGATGGCACAGGAAGTCGCTTTGACCTTAGAGTAGTGAAGAATTAATTACGATACAAAGGTACCAACTAGGAAGAATCTCTATTCATGAAAAGAACTGAGAGAGGGAAAGGTAAGCTACAAAAGTGAGAGAATGTATTTGCAACACACACTGTGGTGTTAAGTCCTAAAACTAAGGTTCAGTGTTAACTGCTGCCTTGTCACCAAGCAGAATGGTGAGGGCCTTGATTTTGTGCAACTGAAAGTTCTCCTTCACACTCTGGCCCCACGGATAACGTCCCTACCTAAACAGTGCTCCTTATCGAGGGGTCAAGCATAGTTCCTGCTCATTCCTGAGTAGAGGATTTAGTTCCCTGCCAGCCGGTAAAATTATTCAAACAAGCCAATCTCACCCCTGTGGGAATCAGGGAGTACCTCACCCTCTTGTTACTATGAAGCCTGCTTCTCACAGGCCCCTGCTGGTTCACTGTTCCAGAGTGCAGCCCCATGTGGCCCTGGGTCCTTCCCCTCCAGGCTATGAGTGGATGTGACTGATAAACGGCTGTCGAGCTCACATATCCAGTATTGGGTGTTGTGGGTTCTTCCGTACCCGTATCGCTAAGGCAGAGTGAATAGGAGGCGACTCAAACAACGACTGACACAAGACTAGTGTTGAGAACATAGAAAGAATGCTCACAAATCATTACAAGAAACAAACTAGACAATCCAGTAGGAAAATGGCAAAATAGCCAAAAAAGCACCGTGTTCACCCAAGAGGAAATCCAAATGGCTAACAAACATATGCAAAGACACACAACCTCATTAGCAATGGGGGAGAGAAGGAAGTTAAGACTCCATGAGATGCTTTCATGCACTAAACTG